ATAAATATACTATCCGATAGATTATTTTTCTCCTTTTGTCGAATATTTTGCCATCAGATTCAATTATTCTCTTCTGAATCGTCCGTTTTTACAGTAAAATAAGTAACGGCTATGGTATCTCAAACAGAAACCCGTCAGTTGCGTAAAAATATTCGTACAAATACTCAACCTGAACATGAAAGTTTAATGGATGCTCTAATGAGTAAACGCCAACAAATGAATGATATGAGTCCTTCGAATCAGAATAATCAAATGGATAATCAACAAACATCAACAATTGATTCTTTCTCACAAGATCGTCAATATTTTCGGATCGGTTGGCACAAACATCGAACAACGACACAAAAAAAACCTGTAAATAAAGCACGACGCCAACAACAAGCAGATATCACATTATTAGATAAAAAACTTGAAAATCTAAATCGTAAACAGGAACAACAGACACATCAAACTAACGAAAATTGGAAAGAATTTAGTGATGTTAATTATGGATTTTCCGATGATGGGTCCTCACGAGTACCGTCTAGACAACAACAAATCAGAGAGCCAGAGCAAGTGGCTGCTGCTTCTCAGAAAGTAATATATTCACTGATTTAACTTTCTCCATCGTAACTTGTATATTTTCTACATACAGAACGAACTATCGAACTCAACCGACACACATCTATCCCCAATGAGGAAGACACCAAACTCGCCAATTATAAGACCTCAGACCTCTGACAAAATAGAGAAACAGACCATTGTTCCCGAAGAGACAAAGGCCGTTGTTCCCGAAGAGACAAAGACCGTTGTTCCCGAAGAGACACAGAAAAGAAGAGATAGTGTATATCGAGAAGAACCATTGAAATCTTTGGTGGAACCGTCTCCTATAAGAGAACAATCTGTTCATTCCGAAAAGATGGTTCAAGCAGAAGAATCATTAAAACCATCTTCAAAAACTAATGAAAGAGCAGAATCCGTTCATCACGAGACAATACCTCAGCAGGAACCAGTACAACGTAGTTTATCAGCAACTAAACAACCCCCAATCGAACGTGTAGAGCCAAATCATGACAAATCTTCACCAATCTTAGAGAAAAATATTACATTGCCTAACAAAACTAATGAATTAGAAGACGACAATCAAAAATTCAAATTACCGCAGATAAATTCAAATAGTTTGCCGAATACATCCAGACGTCCATCATACACAAATCAGTCATACTTCCCAGAGCCCGCACATCTTAATACTGATACAATGAGCCCAACATCACAGTCGTTACCTAGTATTAATACCATATCTCTACCAACTCGAGAACCTTTCCCCGTAAGTTTCTAGTACATTGTACAATTAACACTGAAGAGATAATTATGTCGACAGAAATTATGAGTTTTTGCAGGGAACTTTATTCTTTACTTTTTATTTAACACTTTTTTATGCGAAATGTTCACCACGTGATCTAGCGAACTACGCGGCCTAGAAAACTTCTGAAAACGGGAGGACATTCTCTGGGTGCTGAAGACTGACCAGTGCATGTTGTTTTTCCAAATAAAAATCTAAATCCGGCACCCTAAGCTTCATAAGTGGCAGAAAAATGTGTTTTGGATTTCATTCAAAGTTCATTCACATCAGTTGTCAGACGTCATTTGTTCTTAACAAGAAAAAGAATTCTCTCTCATTTCTCTTTTCATATTTCGTTCTCTGTTCTATTATCTTTAATTATCTCTTTTAAAGCAGCTGAAATAGAAAATCACAGTGGAAGTGATGCAGTGGAAATCTACTGACTAAAATGATAACTTTTGCAAGCTGTCAGCAGAGACAGAGTCTGTTGCCTTCATTGTCCGATTCTTCTCCAGAAAGTGGCAAAATGTGTATTGGACGTAGAAAATTTTCAAATATTTGTTGTCCGGCGCTACTTTTTTTCTTTTGCTTGTCCTTCGAAAATGAGAGCCAAATGCCATTCATTAATTACTCTTTAGATTTTCTCTGTTTTTCAAGTTCCGTAATCAGTTCTTTTCTTCTTTTAAACCTTCTGAAATTGAAATTTACAGCGAAAATGGCCTAGTGGACATCTGCTAGCTGTGGATTGATTCTGGTAACTTCAGTTTACACAGACTCTGTCAACATCGCAACTTGTGCGAAGCGCAATTGCAATCTAGTTTTCTATTTCTGTTTAGATTAGTTTACCACCTCGCACACTTAAAACAATACAACCAAACACTGTGTTACCAACTGTGCATCGAGGTCTACAAAGTATTCAACGTAGTATGGATCGTTATCGTTTTCACGTGTGGTAGTTCAAAGATATTGTCAAAACTATCTGAACAATCTAGTTTCTATCAGAAATTAAACTGTTCAAAAATATTCTTTTTGGTGTACATTAATACTCTTAATGGTTCGATTTTATCTGAATGGATCTGATATTTTTGTAGCTAATTCAGCTAATGAATTCCCGATAAGTTTCAACTATGTTTTGTCAAAAGAGCAATAAATGACAATTTGTACATTATCGACTGTAGTGAAAAAAGAAATATGATTAATAGCTTTATTCGAGGGGTTAAATTTAATCGTCAGACCGAAACTCGGACAAACTGAGGAGAAAAACAATTTATCTGATTGTATATTGTGCATCAAGGTTTATAACGTATTCAATGTAGTTTGGATCGTTATCGTTTTCACGTGTAGTAGTTCAAAGTTAGTTGTCAGGCGATCAAATAGCTTTATCTGAGCGATTAACCATAATCATCAAACCAAAACTCGGACAAACTGAGGAGAAAAACAATCTATCGGATAGTATATTTATAATTTCAGTCTTGTCAACGTTATATATACTCTTATACCTACAAGATTGGTTATTGAAACGCAACACACCTTTTCTCTTTCTTAGATTTAAGCAAAATTTTTGCTTGAAGGCATAGAATCCGAGAAACCATTTGAATTTGACTACAAAACGTTAACGGATACACTGTTAAATTTTGAGAAATTCTGACTAGAAAAGAGCGGATGAAAGAAGAGAAACTAGAGCTTGTAGTCAGAAAGAGACCAGAAAAGCAAGAATTACATAAGAGAATGAATGGTTTTTCATCACTTGTTTTATACAACTTTAAAAGAAGAGTACTTTGAACTCTTAGAAGATGGAATTTATCTAATGTCAACAGTTTCGCCAAATAACTTTGAATAATGTTTACCTTTTTTTTGTAACCTAAATATAAAAGTATAAGCTTATGTTCTCAAACCAAACGGAAAGCTGGCACAAAATAGACAAATGATGGTCTAATCTGGCTGCGATCCTAAAACATGTGGTGCGATCTGGTCTAATCGGATAAACTTTTAGAGAATAATTATGTGACCTTTTTTTTCGTTTGAACGAAGATCTGAAGAATCGAACGTGGCTCGTGGAGTGGTACAGATAAAAGTAACTGAAATCGTGATCAAGGACAAAAATAACAATTACACGTGTCCAAACTGTAGAAAGCAGTTACCTTGTGACACGTGAGAATATATGCGAACTTGTCGATATGAACGAACATTTTACTTTTACTTTACTTGTTTCTCATTTATCGATTAGATAGGCCTGTATACGGCTAGCTGATTAAGAAAACTTTTATCTAAAAATTCCAATTTTTCTAGATAAAATGTTAAAATTGAAATTTTTTTAAAAGTTAAAATTTTTGTCATGCACGATACAAATGTCTCTTAGAAAAGGGCGTTCTAGAACCGAATCATACAGAGTCCTGCACAATGTGCAACGAACATTTAGCAAAAAAATCTTTTCTGACTTAAGTATAGAAAACTATACTTCAAGATATGAGCTATATATACCTAAAAGAATTTATGGTCGAAGTGCCGAGGATCATGAGAAAATATTTAGCTAAAAATTAGCGTGAAAACACATTTGGGATGCTATTAAATAAGTGTTTCATTAAAGCCTACCAAGTCCAAAACAAAAACGACATAGATTATGTATCTAGATTCTTTTTGAACTAAATTAACAAAAGACATTTCCCAATTTGGACTTATAACGTCGGAGAAACAAATTTATTTTTCAAGCTAATTAAACTTTCGTAGACATGTGATCAGTGTACGACGTTTATGCAATTTTTTGGAGCTCCAAACTTTGACAAACTTTGCTAAAATGTTCGTCGACGCTTTCAGCAAACTTTTTCGATCGATAAAAATTACCATTCTGTTTGATTATTATAAGTGTGACAGCTGGAAAATAATCACTTTCAAACTAATGAGACATCCACCTGTGCAAAAACAGTAGCGAGCGGTTTGATGCGCTAGATAAGCTCGGCCTTTATGAGATTAATTCGAATATTTTCAGAGGATACAAAATGTTAAAGGTGACTTGCTCAAGCCTGTAAGGAGGATGAAATTCTTTAAAAGAGGGTAGGTAGACAGCAATAAAAATAAATATGATTAATAAAAACTAAGCGATATTGATTAGGGAAGTAAGATTGTCTATCAGTCTCACTAAAACAAAACTTTGGAATAAATCTGTGACAGCTGCAATTATTAAAATATGATTTCATGTATAAATGTTTATTGATTATATTCGATAAACATAAACAAGAAGTTAATTAGATTAGAAAAAGAAAAAAGTATCATATGAATTGTATCCAATGACATATTCTTAATTAAAATAACGCTATAACAACGGGATTATTAAGTAATGCATTGTGGCTCGATTCCTTGAGAATTAGCAACATCTTGGTGGGGGTGGAGGGAGACACACTAATTCTTCAACACAAAATGGTGGTCCACAAGGAGGGCAAAATTGACGCACAATGCAACAGCAACATTGGTTCACTGGTGTCATGGAGATGATTCGAGACGGATACATGGTAAAAGCTAATTGAATATAAAAGATAAATGTAATGATCGTCTATATTCAATCCTTGTTAACCACCCAAAGTTGTGAATTTTTTTGCCATATTCATCATATATTTATACTGGGCTTCTTCTCTATCTAAATCTTTTTTTTAGTGCATCCTACCATAAAAGAAAATAAAAAGATGTTTTTCGAGCAATATACTAACCAATAAACCGCATCCTAAGCCTGGACCTTACTTATATCTTCATATAGTAAAAATTTCCTCCTATTGGTGAAAAATCGAGAGAGAAATGTTTTTTTTTTATATCAGCATGCTGAATAGAACACAATAGCTTGTATTTTGTATATGAAGCTTAATATTCGAAAATAACCACAATAAATTACGTATTTATTGCATAATTACGTGCATTCATAAAAATATCAACTGAAGAAAAAGTCAAATTATACTTGGTATATACCAACTGCCAAAGATTTTTATCGAGGGAAATTAATAGGTATGGGTTTTAAGGAAGAATATTACTAAATGATGATAGTTTTTACATTTTTCGGATGCCTATAAAAAAAAAAATTTTTTTATCGCAATCACATTCGTTGTGTGTATTATACAGTGCCACGCAAAAATTTTGGGACATTCCATTTTACAGTCGCCATTATTAGAAACATCATTGTATTTACATGATATATTTTATTAAAACTGCTACTATTGTATCTGATACAATAAACATTTCTCTACAAAATGAAATTTTGCTTGACTCTGTTTGATGAACCTTTGACGAGAGATAAAAATTTTAAAAAACGATAAAAAGTGCGATTTTGATGTCATCTGAATTATAATCATAACTTTTTAGGAACAGATGTTAGAATGTGAATGACATTTCAGTTTGAAGGGA